TCCTCCAGCAACCCAAATGCATGTGTGCTGTGTGGTAACCTCTAACATCTGTGCAGAATTACATCTGCTGTAAGGAATTACTCTTTTTACCTCAGGTTGGCCAAAAGGGTTGCTGATCCTAGGTTCAAATCCAGCTGGCATTTGATGTGGATTTTGATACTTCATCTCAACGATATTCACGTGGCTTAGAATCACCATTGCCCAATGGTGTGTGTATTCCCAGGTAGCATGTATGTCTATAAATATATGCACACTAGTTATATACAGAACCCAGACAAACACACTTTTACAGAACTGGATCACTGTTTTACACTAGTGATTATTACCACAGGAAACCACAGGTATAATGTTTTCAGTCTTCAGTAGAAAGGCCAACACATTTGGAAGAGTGATGGCAGAAGGAATTCCCATGCAGCTATATATATGTGTGTTATGTAAAACAGCTGGCTGAAAGGGAAACAGCTGGATCTTGTTCCTTCAATTCCTGGAGCTAGTCCTACCTCCTACCTTGTTTATGTGTTTATATGTTCCCCACTACAGCTACATTTTTGAAAAGGGGATTCCTCTCCATAGTGGATAGTGATGCATGAGGAAGCAGAAGAAGAAAAGTAGATTTTTTATTGTTGGACATTGTAACTCTGCATGCAAGAAGATCTGGGAGGAAAAGGGTTAAAATAATTCTTTCACTTGAGTACACTTGGCAGTTGGCCCCAGCCTCCCTTCAGTTAGATGTTGAGCCTCTTTGGCCATTGCTCACCCTCTGTTTTTCATCTTATACGGGACCTCTCTTCTTCTCTGTCTTACCTGGGCTTGGAGCTGTAGCAAGTTAACCTTCTTGAAGTTAATCTGTTCACAAAGTTAAATGTCCCTACTTAAATATGTCACATAATGTGCTTCTGTTTTTGTAAGTAGAATTTCTTTCTCTTGTTACCATTGGAGTTATATCATCTTTGTAATTTGTTTGAACAGCGTTTTCCCCTTAACCAGGAAATGTGGAGGACTGGGGATGCTCCAAAAAGCTTCTGTGCTTCCAAGGCAATTGATTTTTACATTTAACCCAATATTTATGTCCTGCTTTCCTCTACCTTAAGGAGTCTCAAAGGCGCTCACAATCACTTCCCCACAATGGGCACCCTGTGTGGGAGGTGGGGTTGAGAGAGTTCTGAGAGAACTGTGACTGGCCCAAGATCACCCAGCAGGCTTCACATGGAGGAATGGGGAATCAAACCCAGTTCTCCAGATTGGAGTCCACCGCTCTTAACCACTACACCACGCTGGCTCTCAATGCCTAGTTCCTTTTGGACTAAGCTTCACAGGGCAGACTCTTTGACAGACTGACAGCAGGCTTCTAATGAAGAGCCTGTGTGTCTATTTCCCAATGATCTCTTGTTGATTTGTCCCTCCAAACACACATGCACACACACACACACTCGATTCTTTGATAGTAGACCAATTCTGTATTAAGTTGACTTTTCAACTTGTAGCTCAAGTTTTTACAAGACGCCTCCATGGAGTAGGTATCAAATGAGATGCACAAATCCAATTTATATTCTCCCCCCCACCCACCCACCCTCCTCACCAACAATGAAAGGCAGCGCTCCAGTCTCTTCATGCCAGGCATTTGGCACAAGCCTTCTCACACTTGGGGGAAGTATCCCAATGGAACAATGCTCAAACATTTCCTCAATGCTCAGTGACCAGTGGAAGACAAACATGCCAGTGGCACAGAGGAGTTATATGCAAGAAGAGACAATAACAAATGGGCCTTAAACCAGAAAGTCTGCAGGAGAAGAACAAGAATCAAGCAAAGAATGAAGGAAACTGTGTTAAAGTTTTCTTCCAGCCCTTGACAGCTCCCTGTTGTACACTGTGGCTCTACTTTGAGTGTTAGGTTATTCCCCCCTCCCCCCAACCTTTTTTTTTTTTTTGCATGTACTTAAGCACAGTAAATGAAATGTAATACTGGGCAAATGTGCAAATGCAATGTAGTGGGTGGTTAATTATTGCAAGAGTTTGTCCTGTCCTGGGTCTCGGCACTGCTGGTCTTCCTTCCTTCCTTTATTTCCCCTTTTATTGCAACAATGGGGGTCCCTCAGGTTTCCTGTTGACACTGACCATTTTGGTGTCTATGTATGATGTAATGAAAAGGTGAACAAGAAACAACGGCCGTGCATCAAATCACAGAGCAACATGCATGCTGGTTTCACCATGCATGCTGACCCAGTTCTGTCAGGACACAGAAAACAGAGGGCCGCACCAAATGGGAAAGTTCTGGCAGGAGCCGCGGATGGCTCAGTCGTACTGCTGGCCACTCTTCTTGCTTTACACTTTCCCTTGCTCCCTCACAAAACCTAGCAGTGCCAGTGGGGGAATTACTCTGATATGTCAACAACAGGTGTTCTAGTTTGGCAAGAACGTCCCCACCTCCCAGGCTGCTAGAATATTTCAAAGTAATGGGGAAAATACAAGAACAAAAAGCACCCCTGTTCTAGACAGTGACCTCAGTCTTGCTGTTGGTGGGAAAGGATCGTTGTTGCTGGCTGTAGTGGGTAGGTGTCTGGCCGAATACCTCAGGCAGCTTCTCAACGCTGAACTGACGCTTGGTGGTGTAGGCCTGTCGCCGATGGTCAGGATGGCTGTGCTCCCAGCCATTTTTGAAGCCTGGGCTGCCTGCTAGAGTGTGGGCATTGGTCTTCATCACTTTAGCCTTCTGCCCTGGCGTTGCCAAGCCAATCATCGCACAGCCGTCTTGGAGAGATGGGATGTCTTTCTGACGTAGTGTCAAGGGAGGGAAGGACAGAGTGCCTGACGGTGGCATGTCCACCATGGGGAAGTGCTTGTAGAATTCTTCAGGAGCGCTTTCTAGAAGGGAATATGTGAAATGGAGCAGAAAATGAAGTCACAACAGGCTTTATCTCTTCAACACTTGTCCCAATAGTACTCCTTAGCATTACTCTTTTGTGGCCTGCTAAAAGATGGATTAAAACAGTAGTTTGACACCAGCCTCAGTATATCATCATGTTCCCATAACAATCCTGTCATGCCTGTCCCAATAGCAAAGGCTAGAACTGCACCTGTAGTCAGATTCTAAGTACATTTATTCAGTAATTAGTCCCATTTTTCCAGAGGGGCTGACTCCTTAGAAAGTAGGGTTAGACTGCAATTCTGTGTTGCAGACTTAACCTGTTAGTTTCTTTTATACTCTTGATTTTGCTGTTCTGCACTAACAGGAACGAATGAAAGAACGATTGTTACTTTTTTGCTAAACTCTAGTCACTTAATAGTAAGTAGGGGAAGGGTATGTCCAGATGGTTGAGCCACACAGCTCCTCCCTCCCTGTCTGTAGCCAGAGCAAGGTGTCAATCTCAGATGAAGGGGCTGGTTTAACCACTCTTCTTGTGAGTACAACAAGAGAGTTAAAGGCTATTAACAAGTAGTTGGTTCATCCTGTGCCCATAAGTAGCAGAAAGCTAATATGATCAGATGAGGGCATCATACAATGTCAATGCAAAAATACATAAGGATAGTAAAAATAAAGTGTGCTGGTTGTTCACACCAGAATTATTAATTTTTTTTGCAGAATTAGCCACTACCGCTTTAAGCGAATTTCACATTCATATTAGCTGCTGCTACTACATATAATGAAACTCAAGTAGAAATTCTTTCCATCCTACCTGCTAATAGGGCACTTAATTTTCTCAATTATGTCAAAGATGCCCAATAGAGGATGGTTCCCAAAATTGCTTATATAATGGAGGACAGAGAAAAGGATGAGGAAGTTCTATTGTGCCCTGCCTTCATTGTTTCCAGGGTGCAACTTGCATGTTTTGAGCCCTTTGCATGCAGAGATGTTTGTGGATAGACTTTGATGTGGGGGAGATGCTGAATGCAAAGAGCTCAGGGGCAGTGAACAGGATAGCAGGGCCAGCAGCAGCACCCCACCCTTCCTCTTCTGGGTACATACTTCTTTACACAATGAGTGATTAAAATGAGAAATTTGCTGCCAGAGGATGTGGTGATGGGTGCAAGTATAAGTGGTTTTAAGAGGGGATTAGACAAATTCATGGAGGACAGGTCCCTCAGTGGCTACTAGACAGAACCTCCACATTCAGAGCCAATAGACCTCTGAATACCAGTGCCAAGAGGCAACATCAGGGGAAGGCCCTATTGCTGGCTGGCCACTGTGTGACACAGGATGCTGGACTAGATGGGCCACTGCTCTAACCCAGCAAGGGTCTTCTTGTGTTCTTCTGCTGATCTGCACAGAGCTGGGGGTATAACTGTAATGAAAATATGGCCCTGTGACACAACGTAAAACCTTCACAGATAGTAAGAAGATAAAAACAGCCCTTAAGGTTTCTTTAAATGTATACCCCTCCTGATGACTGCAAACCATACATGCCACAGCCAGCTACTGCTGTGCTCTGTGTCAGCAATCCGTGATTTAATGCTTTTACATTCAAAATGTAAATCTCTTCAAAACAGCTGTGGAAAAATCCACTCCCATAGTATGTAAAAGGGTGATTACTATGTGTTAAAGGGCAACTTATCCATGCAAAAGTTATTTTTATAAATACTTCTGTATTCAACACCCCTGTGGGAAGAGGCAAATAATGGTGCCCCCCCACCCCCTTGTGGCCTTATTCCTTTCCAAACCGCTGCATTTTAGCCCTTCTGGCTATGTTCCCCCTCCCCTTTCCTATAATAAGTGCTGTCCCATTTCCTTCCCCCCTCATCCCTACCCCTGTGGGATTAGTGGAATCATAATGCCTACTACTCAGCAGAGTGGGATGTTAGCAACAATGGAATGATGTCACCCTGTGTGCCAGAATGGGGGGAGGGAAGCTCAAGGCAAGCCAGCCTTTGGAGCAACCCAAGAGGACGAACGTGCAGTCCAATGGCACCTACCTACAGCCTTGAGAGTCGCGTATTTGGCATAGTCAGGTGCCTTGTGCGGCATAGTGCTGCTGGCCATTTGCAACCAGTTGTTGTGTGGATGTGGCAGTCCAATCTGTGGGGCAGTGGCAGGATTAACCACAGCATTGTTCAGATGATTCTTGTCTGAAAGCATAAAGAGGTAGCAGGAAATGACTTAAAAAGGCATAGAAAGAAAGGGGGAATTTTAAACCAACCACCAACCGAAAAAGCAAAACAAAGCAAAAAAAAAAAAAAAAGTGGAGGAAACAAAAAATATACTGAAAGAAAAGCTAACTTGCTATTTAGAAACCAATAAGATCCAACCCAAATAAAATAGGCCAAAAATATCCGAAAGGAATCATAACATCTGGAACACTCCCATAGTCAGTCGTGGGACAAGAGACCAAATGTGTTTCAGCATCACTGCCTAACCAATATACCAAATGTTTAAGATGCAACTTTCTCTACTGTTGACGACACTGACATTGAAACTTGTTTGTTCTCATCCTGTGATTAACAACAGTAGTGTTTTGTCTGTTATGATTATTTGGAAGTATTTATTAAGAGATATTTATTGGGTCTGGATCTTAGTGGTTTCTAAATAGTAGGTATGTTTTTCTTCTAGAAAAACACTCGTACGTCATCAGCCACACTTCTTAGGCCCTCTGTAGTGGTTACTCCATCTTTGAGGCACCTCTGCTGTCCCAATGTGTGCCTGCACGGAAGACTCTCAATGAGCAACAGTTATAGGTAAGTGCAACCCTGTTATCTGACTAAAGCCTAGGTCCATTAAAATATATGCCCCTTCCCTTGACAGAATTGTTCCAAGGGTTAATTTAGAGCAGTGGTTCTCAACTGTTTTATATCTACTGGTTACTCTGTCAAAGAAGCTGAGTCCCACCATGATAAAAACAAATAGTCTACTTTTCCCGAGAAGGACATTTATATGTTTACAGGCATTCTGTTATTTATCATTTATGGTACATTTTAATTGCAGTATTATTGCTGGGAGCAGGGTCAGCAAGTAGTGACACATCAAAGACTGCTGGTGAGCAGAGGGAATGGAGGATTAGGAGAAACACCAAGTATCCAAGGTTACTACTAGCATGCTGAAAGTCACAGGGGGATAATCTGTGGCAGGTAGGGTTGGCAGGAGATGGCACATCACACATGCAGGTGGCATGGAGATTTGGGGAGAACAAGTTCTTTGTAATTGTTATGAAAACCCTGCATCCCACCTTAGACTACTTCTGTGTCCTGCTGTTGGCAACTGTCACACCAGTTGACAGAATACATGATGGCTGAATTCAATTTAACTCAGTAGCAAAAACATGCCTTTAGGACCAGTTCCTGAAACTGACCTTGCACCTGTCCTCAGTGAAGGGGCAAACTGAGCACTAGGCTTGTACCACTGCGAGGGGAGAGAGAGATTGGAGGCATCGCTGGCTGGGAAAGGCAAGCAATAGCACTCTTAGTGCTGCTTGATGGCTTGGACCATTGTGGTGCCCCTCCCAACAGAGAGGGTACTGAGGAGTATTGTGTTTGTGCGTAGGCTGCAGTGTGGTTTTATACTAACGGGCCATGGTGAACCAGAAGGTTGAAAAAATACAAAGCTAACAAACAATTATAACAATAACATTGACAACTGACACACTGTTATATCCAATATACATTAGCAATTCCAAAAAGTCAATTTCCAAGGCAGAATGAGCATATAAATACACCAGGTGGCGTTAGTTCTCACCACTCAAGTCTCTTTGTTTTTTCTTCTTTTAGAGGCTTGAAGCAGTCAACATGCTATTACGCCAAGCTGAAAGAGACGAGGCCGCTGCAAAACCCGTTTAGAGGCGTCTGTTCTGCTTTATTTAATGCATGAAGGCTTTGGTTCCAATCAATTTGCAGTCCTGAGGAAGTTCGACTGAAACTGCTTACAGTTCAGTATAGCGTGTTGACTGCTTCAATTGTCTAAAACAGGGGTGTCAAACTCATTTGTTATGAGGGCTGAATCTGACATAAATGAGACTTTGTTGGGCCAGACCATGTGTGTCATAAAATGTAATGCCAGGTAGCGGAGATATAAATTTTATAAAGGATACACACACAAAGGGTTTTTACTTAAAATAAAAATGTGCTTAAAAAAATTAGCAGTCTTGCAATATTTTGTTTATTTAATTTATTTAATTTATTTTTTTATTTATTATTAAATTTATACCCCGCTCTCCCCCGTAGGGCTCAGGGCGGCTTACATGGAAAGAAAAACTTGCTAATAAAAACATCAAATAGTTTAGTACATTTAAAAAACATAATATACAATTTAAAAACCCACTCAAACATTAAAGTGCTCAAACTACCCATTATCCATTCCGGAATTTCAGAGAGGACAACCACATTCACAACTGAACATCCCCGGTAGGCATTCCATAATGTTCAACAGGTGTTTCTTCCCGCCCTCCTAGGGCCCTACCCCCCCCCAATGATGGTAATAT